GGCGTCACTGCAAATCTCAAACTTCCTGTCCTCCCAAATCGATCTGATACATGGATTCGCACAAACTAATTAAGCCATGAAACAGCACTAACATAATCATCAATTCAAGCACTAACATAATCATCAATTCACGCCCCGTAATCTTTAGGCAATCTTCTTGGGCAAGCAAGGGCTATCCTGTTTTACCATCAGTGTTCTTCTCCCAAGCCAGAAGCAATGTATATATTTTGTATACCTAAATACACCTGCTCATAAATATACATGCTTATATTTAAGATATATAAGCGATTACCATAGACCAATTATGCAACAGCAATCCCAATGCATAAAACGGTTCCCAACATAAGCAACGAGAATCGATCAATTCATCAAAAGCATATATGTTCACATTACAATACCAATGTTAACTGATACAAAATATCCTTTGGCAAAGAAAACAGCAAACAAGTTCTATCCATTTCTTTCGGAACCAGAAGACTATATATCGCAGGCAATGCAGTCAAACACATCTTTTTTGGTGACTATATACAATACTATGACAAGTGTAATGTTTATATCTCTCTGTAAAGGTTGAGCCTGTTGGCGCCACCAAGCATCCTGTTAACCACGGTTGCAGCAGCCGCCCCTTGGCTTGGAGAGGTGATCTCTGACGGCTCTTCCCTGATCTGCAACGATGACACAGCTTGGGCAGCTATGAAACCAGGACAGGTAACAGACTGGTGGAATGTTCCTTGATAGTATGGGCCTTGGAGGTCACTCACTTCTCCCCAAGATGGCAATGGCTGACCAATCCCCCAATCAGCCCACCTCCCTTTGGGTCTGGGAGCATACACATGGCTGGCGCATATCAGTCCATCATCAGAGGGGTAGATATCAGTGGGTTGTGCATCCACGGTGAATTCAAAAGCAGCCGAGGCACCCCAATGGTTGCACCTGATGTGCTTGTTGAGCATCAAATGGCAGGGTTCATCGGAGTCCTCACCTATGAGAACATGAAGAGCAACTGCTTCAGCTATGGCAGCACCTTCCTCATCCAGCCTTTGCTGTTCTTCCTTCTTCTTCTGCTTCTTCTTTTCCAGCTCTGAGATGATGGCAGCTGAGTTTGCAAGCGCTTTCTCCAGGCGGCGCCACTTCTTCTCGGCCTGCTTCTGGCGATCCAGTTCATCCTTGGCCTGTTTCTTTTTTCCTTTCTTCAAGACTTTGCCTGCCTGATTATTGCTCATGATAGCCTTGTCCATGACAACCGTGCCTGCTGCTATTTACTACTGACTATTACCTCTGGTAGACTCCTCTACTAACAACTAGGTATAATTAGGGAAGAAAGAAGACAAAATGTTCAAAGCTCATTCTTTGGACTCCTTGGCAGGTGGTTTCCTATGAGTAAGAGCCCTCCTGTCCGTCTTTTTTTTTTTTTTTGATGAGGAAGAAAAAGAAAGGAACTATTGCTAAGACGGGTGACTGCAGGATGCTACACCCACTCAGGTCTGAATGAGTATCTTATCTTGCGGAAGATGCAGTCCCAAAAGGAAACCACGGGGGAGAGCAGGAGCGAGAAATGGTAAGCGCCTGCTATTTCATCTATGGTTAGTCTTGTCCCAAACTTGTTGTTGAGCAGGCCCTGACCCATCTTAGTAGCACCAGAACTGGAGTAAAGCCCCAGCCAACCAGCTCATAAGGTTCCTTCACTGTGGCAAGAGAGGAGAAAGTTGCGGTCAGAATGAGAAGGGGGCAGCAGCAGGTGCAGGGAAATGAAGCAAAGCAGGAGATGAAGAAATGTAAGCAGCATATATAATAATTTAAATAATGACAGAATATGTAGAAGAACAAATGAAACGACTTGACATGATGAATTATTGTACATTATTAGATACTACAGGAAGCAGTAGTCACTCTGAGACTCAATTTATATACTGTTGCGTTTGTAATCAAGAAAATTTCTGCATCTATCTATCTATGTAGTGAATGAAATATGTACAGTAATAAAATTAGATGATGGTATCTGTGTCCTCTTGTTCAGGAAAAGCTAAAATGTACACATAGAAATGAGATGACAAAGTTGCATAGCAATCGAACATGAGATGATTTTGACTCGCAGGCTCCATTAGCAACCGATGGATACACATACAGCAATTAAAGAAAAAAGAAATTTCTACCTTTATTATTTATTTTTTTAAACTGTAAACACTTTGTATGGAAGGATCTGATGGGAGTGGCACCAGATGCAGCAGGAATCCCTCCCTATCCGGCTATCGATTGATACGTAGGAGGAAACCCTAGGTAGGGGGAAGGGGGAAAACGCATCGCAACGCGTGAATTTCGCGTCATATACTAGTATGAGCAACCAATTAAAGATCGAGCACCCTCAAAATTGGCAACCAACCGTTGGCAGGGGCCAATTCGTGAGTGATGATAACTGAATTATGGCACAGTTGTCCCAGATGGAACACGCAATTGACGGAAATTCGCATCATCAGGACATATATATCGTTCCCCAGGAAACGAATTGGGCAACGTCGCAATTGACCGGCCGGCCGCTCAATTGGAGGCAAACAAAAAGTAGTGAAGCGGAGCGGACCAGACCCAGCATCATGAAATTGAAAAGAAATCGAATTGGGGGTGGGGCGGACGGATGCCGGAAGTGGCAGATCCCGATCCAGCGGAATTGGGGGCGAAATCAGTACCTGTTTGAAGGCCGGGGAGGGATGTGGAATCGGCGGGCGGGCGGGCGGTGAGGAGCCGGCGGAGTGGAAGGGGATCTGGCGTTGGCGTCGTCGATCCGGATCAGGGGGCGGGCGGAGGAGGAGGAGGAGAAGCCGAAGACGAGGACGAGGCACGAGGGGGATCCCGAGCGAGTGGCAACTTGGCTTGGGGTTTGGGTTGGGTTGCTTGGCGTCGACGAAATCGAGGCGGATTTCCCCTTCTCCTATTCTCTCCCCTCTATCTGTCCCTGCCCAGTGGGCCAGCCCAAGCCTGCCTCGTGCACCCAGCCTTTATTATTTTTATTTATTTCTGCTCTTGGGCTATTGGCCTCTTCCTTGTACTACTTGGGGAAAAAAAATTTAAGACTGATATCAGTGCTTGCCACTACATGAAAATTATATAGGTGCCCCTAACTACTAAAGTTGTGCATCAAAAGAAAATTACTAAAGTTTGTTCGGCACTAATTATCAAAAAAAAAAAGAACAATCATTCTATCTAGAGATTTAAGAATGAGATCATTGCTTGCTACATAAAAATGGCATAGGTGCTCCTAATTAAATAAAGTTATTTAGCATTAATTCAAAAATCCATACTAATTAATAAGTTCTCATGTTGTTCCTAGTTGCCATAAGACCTCGCAGCTACAGATGGCAAACGAAGGACAACCCCTCAAATCATTGTTTTTGGCAATTTTGTATGCACGCTTCCTTCTCACGCATTGCTCGCTTCCCTGCCCACGCGCCTCGGCCGGAGAGATCGTTGGCTCTTTCCCGTCCCCGCCCTTGCGCGCATCCCATCTACATGTCGCCAGAGAGGTCACGCTCAGCCCCCCAGAGACTCCCCCCTGGTTGCACACCGTATCGCTTGAGCAGGAAGACACTGATATCATCGGATGTGTTGGAGAGGTTGTGTCCATGGCTCATTCCCCTCCCTGCGACACCCCTCCCTGGCTGCGCCCCTCCCATATCCGATCCGATCCGGTGCCGTGGCCATGCCCCTCCCCATCGGAGCCCTTCCCGGTCGCACCCCAAGCATGGCCGTGTTCGTTAATGGGGAGAAGATAGGAAAGAGGATAACAAGCGAATCATGCTAGAGTGTAGTTAAAAAAAACAGAACCTAAAAATAAAGGAGCACTCAAATAAAAAAAATAGAGCCGGCTGCTCAAGTAGTCAAGTTGCTCTTACCCTGTACCCACAAATTAAATGCAACGGCCAAGTCAATTAAAGTTGTTTTGTTTGACACTGCTGTTGAGAGTGGAGACTCACCAAGTGACGCGTGGTCTCACAGCAGACGCTATGTATTTACCGAGAAACTTTGAACCGAGTCAGACCAGCAGCTGCTACTCTATTTATTTTTATTTTAGGGCCTGTTTAGATTTCAAAATTTTTTACGTAGTACTCGTCACATCGAATCTTGCGGCACATGTATGAAGTATTAAATGTAGACGAAAAAAAAACTAATTACACAGTTGTGTGAGAAATCGTGAGACGAAACTTTTAAACCTAATTAGTCTATAATAAGACACTAATTATCAAATACAAACGAAATGTTACAGTGACACAAAATCCAAAAAATTTTGGATCTAAACTGGGCCTTATTCCCTAGAATCGTGCGATGAAACTGCATATCGATCGGTGGCGTCTGGGTTTTGGACCTGCTGTTGCTGCCGTCCTGTCCTGCCGCCGTAGAGACGTGCACAGTGCCCACTGCCCACATCACATGCTTTCGTTCTTTCTAGGCCGAAACTGGAGCATGGATGAATGGGGAGGACGTGCTCGGGCAACGGCGTTGTCAAGGGCCCATTGGGGTGGCAGCGCGGTCGTGGGCAAGGTGGCCTCAGTGGGCTCACTGGGCCTTTTTATTATTTATTTCTCTAAAATTGTCTACAGAGGAGGGCAGGGCAGATGAGGCACCCTCTTTTAATCGAGACCTTTTTGCCACAGGCAGACGTGCTGCCTATCCTGCAAGCATTTTTTTGTCCACCTCTGTAAAGAAATTCTATGACACACACACCTGCAAGCATTTTTTGTCCACCTCTGTAAAGAAATTCTATGACACACACACACACATACACACAATGCAAGTAAAGCTTTACATATCTGCCTTCAATGTAACATGCTTGTTATTTGTAGCCATCAGAGCGAGACCATAGTTTTTCTTATATATGGACACATGTCTTGATTGATCCAGCCACAACTTGCATTTTTTTTTCCCAGTCATGCAGCATGCACAGTACAGTACAGTCGTCGAGGCCACTACCCAGGTGTACTGACGACTGACGTACTGTTGGTTGTTAGTCCTCATGCGCTCGATCGTCGATATGATCCAGCAGGCTGCTGATGGAGCCTCGGCGCAGGTGATTCAGTAACTCTCCTGCTTCCAGTAATTCCGATGGCCAACTCCGTCTCCACGTCCTCCATGCGCCCCTCCTTCGCCGCCGCTGCTTCCTCTTCTTGGCCGCCACCAGCAGCATGCATATGATGGTCATGGTCCTTATCATTCAGCTCTAGCAGAGGCAGGGCCTTAAACTTGGATATGCAATTACAGTGTATTAATTAATGGATCAGTCAATGATCGATCCATGGACTACAAGTTTTCACAAACGAATTAACTAGTAGCCTGCTTGTTTACTCCCCACAATACATACCTGATCACGGAGCATCGCGTTCTCCATCAAGAGTTTCTGCTCCTGTATGCACACAAACATTTTCTTGTTAGGTTTCTATCTTATTAAGCATTTTATTTGGAGTGCACCGACATAGAATTTGACCCATCATCAACTTTATTTAGTCCATACATATACATATACATATACCTTCTCCCTCAAGACTAGAATTTGATCCATCAGCTTCTTATACTGCTCAGGGTCCATGGATAGATGCAGCAAAACGGAACAAACATCAGTGCCTGTATGTGTCGGTAACTTGCATTGGATCATACCATATGCAAAACTAAGTACTAGGAATATGCAGCTCTTGCCTTCCTTTGCCTGATTATGCTTAGGCTCTTCTCTAGCTGTGCCTCCAGTTCTTTTAGCTCCTGAACTGAACAAGATCCAAGGTTCTCTCCAAGCAGCTTCCTGTGGGTTAGTTCGTGGCACGTACGATGGATTCTTAGTGTCCAGTTTCCCAACATAATCTTCCTTCTCAATTAAGGAAACACATGCAAGCAGATAAAATCATCTATCAACTGTCATCACCTCTTGTATGTCTCAATTGCGTCTATCTTCTTTCCCAAGGTTGTAGCCTCATACTTCCACTTCTGTGTAGTAGATACATATATAAACATCACGTTTGCACATACAAAATTTCAGCTGCCGAGAATTTTATATATATGCATACGTTTGGCGGAAAGATAATCATATACATGGCATGGGACTACATGCATACATGTCGTGCATCATCCTTTTGCTCACTGACCCTGTTACGGTTAGTATTGCATTATTCTCGGAACATTTATGCATTAGATGTAGAAAGGTTGATTGCGTTCTATGAGCGAGATGGGACTGTAACTTAGACAAGGGAGGGAAAGGAATGAATTGGATGTACCTCTACGCCTGTTTCAACTTTCCCATTTGCAGGTGTGCCTTCTGTGTGCTTCAGGTACCGATCAATTGTATTCTGCAAGCTGAGAACTTCTCCAAGTATTAGGCTCAATGATTGGATCCATGAAGGAAATGCCTCTATCATGTACAGCCATTTAATTTATGTATAACGTACTCCATTAATTATATATAACCGTGCATTTAATAACAGGATTTATTCAAGAACCACCACTCCAAATAATTTTAGTTAGCCTTCCTATCTTTATGTTGTGTGCACTTATTGAATTTAAAAAATAGGTATACGTACAATAGCAATGCTGGATCAGTAAGTAGTGTTTGCATATAGCATATATTGGCAGCCACAGGAAAATGACCTAAGGGACTGTATCATGCATTGCAATGTGCACTTATACTATAGTTTCATCTTTTATAAACAAATAATGTAAAACGAGGAGGTAAAATGGTAACACAAATCCTTCAACATGTAGATAATTCAGAAAATGACTATGCATATGTTGGCCTATGGAACTAAGCTAATTTGATAGTTGTAATTGTTTTATTAGACGTAGAGAATTATATATGCATAGGTGTACAAACATATATGCCACCTGGTCACTTACACTAATATGTAGCTTTGGCATGTGTTTTCCAACTAATAATGCAGAATCTACCAATATGCATAAATATACTCCCTCCGTCCCAATATATAAGCTAAGGCGTAACCACCTCTGGTTCAAAAGACCAAGGAATGTATTTAATTCTCTCTCTCAACACTAGTATTACTGCATCGATGTATTTGTGTCTATAGAGAGCACGCCTTATATTATGGGACATGAATAAAAAGTGGTTACGCCTTATATATTAGGACGGAGGGAGTATATGTTTCCCTTAGTTAATAAGCATGCTTATAGAATTTTATGCTCTTCTTCAAATCAATAGCACATGTGTGAACAAATGTTCCAACTCTTTCTTCGGTACAAGCAGTTATCCATGGTATCTGACTACAGATTGCCATATATGAGCCAAACCAATGAAAGCAATGGAAGCAGTGAGAGATAGGTGCTGTTAAACATAAACACCAACCCTCTAGAAGTGGAATAGAACTAGATCTATATATATACCCACTTGACATTTATGAGATCTTCACTAATTCGAGAGTAATATGAGAGACTAAATTGATATGAGAACTAAATTATTCACTACACAACACTTATACAACATAAGGCTCTTACACTCTCCTTGCGGGAGTTATATATGTATCTTCTCGAATATTGATGTCAGACGTGTCACACTTCATGGTAGCTAAATATTACATTCCACTTATTTTAGATCTATGCCCAAACTACAGCGAATGCATCTTCACTGCGATAGTAATATAGGACGCCAACTCTGCATAAGGTTTCGATACTTTATCCATATTATCACACAACACTTATTTCTTAGACTTTTCTTAGTAGCCATCTATCGTCTTTAGTTGTGAGGATCAAATGACCCTAGTCCCTAGACAGAGTTAGTGTGATTTTGGTGGTTGATTAACAACATGTCCACCCAAGACATCAACATCAAAGATTTGAATTCCGGACAAAAATGCAAGAAATTCAAGACCATTGAAGAATTGTATGCACTAGATGCTTCATAATGAGCACCGTATGCTTACCTTGAATGCACTAGAGCATTCAACAACCAAGGCTTGGTGACCGATGTTGGCTCAGTTACGAACACCAAATAAAATGGGTCAAAGGAAGAGAACATTTCCTTCACTCATTGGAAGCAGGTTCAGTGGTGCATTGGATACTTCACTATGCTATTGTAGTTCATCTTTGGAATGTGTGTTTTTAAAGCAACTGGAATGTCTCATAGGACAAAAACATCGAAGAGCCTAATGCGAATATGGAGTTAACACACACCAGATGATTTGGTGCAAGCAATAGAATGATAGGTGAAATCCGATGACATGGCCAAGGTTGTAACGACAAGCCCAATGACTAGTTGGATTCATTCCATGCACCAAATATTCCAGTGATGACATGGAATGTGCACCAGATTGTTCGGTGCATGCAACTTAGTCTCTTGAAGTGCAATGGCTAGTTTCTCTTCTTATTAGGGCTATAAATATGCTCCTACTAGCCACTTGGTTGTTGTTGAAGCTACTAAAAGTGTAGCACATAATATAGAGCTTTACTATTCAACAAATGAGACTAAAGATTAAGAAAATTAGGATAGGGGTTATGACTTGTTCAGTGCTAGTTTAGGCTGGTCGGTGCATCGCTTTAGGTTTTAGTCTAGAGTTAGGCAAGGTTTGCACACTTCTTTTGTTGCCGGTGATTCACTCAATGACTGTTGTAATCTCAGACCCTATAAGTAATGAAAGGCCCTTTAACCATGCTTGTGGAGTGGCCACTAGTGTTGTAAGAGGGAGGAGAGACCCTTGACATTTTGGCCGAAGCTTTACCAAGGGAAGATGGCAGGGAGCATTCTGACAGAGCCACGAGATCCATTCCAATTTAGGGAACCTCTACTGGCTATCCATGGAGTTAGCAACCAGGAGCTTCACCCTCTAGAGGGATCCAACAACGAGGGTTAGTGGAAAAGTATGTGCTTTCCGATACATTGGCAAAAATTGTCAAACGGGAATTTGCACTCTCTACCCCTGTTTAACTTTTGTATTACTCTATGGAATCTTGTGATAGTGCCCCACAAGATTCCAAACTTGGGGCACTACCACAAGATTCCAAAAATAGCCAATTAGTTTTATTTTCTTTTTAGGAATAATATGTTTCTATTTCACATTCAGATAAAATTTCACCATCTATATATTTTATTTAATATGTTTTTTCCCACACTTTGGATATGTCAAAATTGGTGTCAACACTTTCTTGCATCTTTGCTTGTGTGTTTTAACTTTTATAGAATGCACGTGTAATTGCGTTAGGATTGGAACCTAGGGTGCAAACTTTTGTATGATAGAGATAGGAACACATAGAAATAGGCAATGCACATTTATATGGAATTTGTGTATTTTTTTTATATCTGCAAAGTTGGCCATAGTTTTAACCAACGTCAATCCACAGCCCCATTCTTAGGTCCTCAAAGTCCATTTATTGTAATAGGTAGGACTCATGCCATCGAACTATGGCATGTGACTCTCAGTAGTGGCTACCTATGCTATGCATCCATGCCTTTCTCATGAAGGATCACTTGTTATGACAAGTTAAGGGTGGCATATCCTTATATATAGGCGTAGGTAAGCTAGGGGAAAATGTGACAAGTGTTCTTGTGCTAGAAACTTACTAGGTTCCACAATATTCTAAACTTATTGAGCATGGAAACAAGTTCTAGTGCATAACACTACTATAGTAATCTTAACGGAGGCGGGCGTTTTGGGTCTCTGAACCGCCTCCGTCAAAAGGTTCTCGTTAATGCAGACCTACGGCCTGCCTCAGTTAATCAATCAGACAAAAAAAGAAAACCCGTCGACGAGCCCACCAAGCGCATCCACGCGCCGCCGTCGCAGCCCCTCGCCGGATCTGAGCATCTGCTCGCCTGGGCCATCGGTGGAGCCACCAGGACTGCTGCTCCTCGCCGTAGCGTTGCTTCTCGGCCAGATCCGTCGCGCCGCCACCGCGAAGGAGAGGGAGAGAGAGCTCCTCGGCCATATCCGCCGCCGGAGGAGCTCGAGGGATCGGGAGGAGCTCCTTGGCCAGATCCAGGCGCCATGAGAGGGAGGCCGCGTCGCGCCGCCGCACCGCGTGAGGGAGGCAAGCCTCTATTTTCGGAAGTAAATAGAGGCCCGCCTCCGTAAATCAATTTTAGGATCAGATGTGGGCTTTTTCTGACCACCTCCCATAAATAAATCGACTGCCTCCGTTAATCGATTTTGAGAGGTGGTCATATTTTTGGTGCCTCGGTAAATAAAATGACTGCCTCCACTAATCGACGGGTATTTTACGAGGTGGTTGGATTTTTTTACCGCCTCGGTTAATAATGTTTGGGCAGTGTCTCATAAAATCATTTTTGTAGTAGTGTAAGCATGGCAACTAGACTCATGCAAGGTCTCAAGTTCTCTATCTAGAACATTCTCAAGTGTGCGTTTGCTATTTTCAATAGTGTCAGTAATAATTAAATCGGCAGTAATTAAACTATATCATACTGAACATCAATAAAAAGGATTCTTTGGGATAAGTGAATCTAATCTAATAAGTTAACGTATGTTATACAAATTATTATTGTTAATAGTTAATCAGTATATTGCCATATGTTTGGTTTTTTAAAGTTTCTCTGAGATAGTTGTGTTTCTGAGTCATATGCTACAATTTTTACAAGTTGTCTAATTAATGTGATTAGTTAGCCGAATCATCCACTACCTCCGATTTAGTTCGTCGACCTGATTTGGTCGACCAAGATTCAAGTCATCCAATTAGTTGTCACCTAATCACAGTTAATCAGACGATTATGGAGGGGGGGGGACAAGGTTTGTGTTGCTGTCGAACTGGCCTCTACGCGAGGGCTTGATTTTAGCTACCAATATTTGTCCCATTAGGGTTATCCTTCACGGCAAGAGCCTTACGGGAAAGAAGCTAGACTCATGCCTATTCCTAGTCCATGATTTCTTGTGTGCGCCATCATGCATCCGCTTCAAGCTGCCGACGCAACACCAATTCACATCGTGGTCGGCGCTCTCCATCTAGCCGCCACCAACTCTCTTCACTTCCTTGGTGGGCTACTCTTCCTCAATCACTAATGGGATTTGGCTAGGGGATCCCATCCCCACAAACGCAAGGGCAAGGCACACACAATATATAGGATTCATCCGCCGAGCAGCGACACCTAGGGTTCCTTCTTCTCCTCTAACAATTAATGAAGTTTTCTCCTCCGGTCCTCGGTACTCCTCCATCTTCTTGGCTTCTTGCTATGGTAGTGATTATGTCCTCTGCCTCCTCCACGATTCCTCCCTTTGCCTCTTGCTCTGCGGGATGCTGCTTTGCCTCATGCTCCACTACTGTTGCTCATCTCTGCTACTATGCTTACTTGTTGGTTGGTTCTCTAGCTTTATACAATATAATGTATAGCATATGGTATATCGGTCCTGGAATATACATAACAACTATACCGCCAAGTCGACTAGGCTCGACAAGTTTGGCTGGTCGTCAATGACTAATGTCGACTAATCAGATGGTCGGTCCTGTGGTGACAACTAGGACCGACTAGATGGTTTGAAAACATTGATATGCTATGGATAATTAAGTATTTCAAACACTAAATGTGCTAACATGGATTATTTTAAGAAGAAAGAGTTTGTGGGGCCTTGGTGTTCCCTTTTGATATGAACTATTCATATTCATTCTTCTTTTTTATATTTTTAGCCTACCCCAACTTGCTTGGGACTGAAAGGCTATGTTGTTGTTGTATATTCATTCTTCTTTTTGGTTGGCACATGACTGCCACAATATGCATGAAAAATCAGGAAATACACAAGGAGGTATCTTCCCTAGAATACCGTATCTATGGTGCACGTCATAAGTGACCCAACTACCATGTATGTATGAAAGTATGATAATGAACATGTGTTGTAGCACTATATGTGTAGATTCAATGAAATTCTTCCATAAGTACGCCCTCTGTCTAGAAAAGAATGTAGCTCTAGCATAATTTCAAGTCAAACCATCTTATGTGTAACCAAGTTTATATTGAAAAGTAGCAATATTTATTATACCAAAGAAGTACCATCAGATTCCACACTGAATATATTTTTAATAATTATAGCTATTTGGTGTCATATATTGATACATTTTTTATATAAATTTGGTCGAACTTTAGATAGTTTGACTAAGAAGAGAACTAGAATTGCATCTTTTTTCAGGAGGAAGGTAATACCTTTTGAACTAAATAGCTCTTCTAATTAAGGTCTGGATCCAAACGAAAAGATTATGAATTAATATTTTTTGTTTGTGTAATAGTGGGCTTGATTGGTTCATGGGTATAGTCCAATTCAGGAACCAATATTGAGAAATAACACAAATTAATGAGCTTAGAAAGATGAAATCAAATATATGTCGTTCATCAGATTAATAAGTGAACTTTACATCATGTTCCTTGAGTCTTTGAGTAGTGGGCTATACTTGGTACCCATCTGCGTTCAAGTTACAATATATGTTCCAATAGGACTGTGTGTGTCGTTTGATCAACTAAGAGTTAATTTTCTGTAATAATAGGTTAGCATATAGATATCTTTTGAGTAGTGGGATATTTTTTTTGTTTTACATTTTATCTCTTCAGAGGGAGAATTACTGTATGTGCACTAGCTTTTTAGGTAGAAGAGATTTTGCACAATGATGCAAAAGAGAACAAGGGCATGCGTGGGAGAGAGATACAGTGTTTGTTGACTGTATTTCATGTACTGTCGATTACAAGAGAAGTTGTTCCATGTTAATCATAGTGCTACAGGTATATGTTGATGGATTAATTGCCACTGACTAAAGAGATGGAGAATAACCCGATTCATATAGGCCCTGTTTAGATCCCACCTAAAATCCAAAATTTTCCAAGATTCCCCGTCACATCAAATCTTGCGGCACATGCATGGAGCATTAAATGTAGGTAAAAAGTAATAACTAATTGCACAGTTTGCCCGTAATTGGCGAGACGAATCTTTTAAGCCTAAATAGTCCATAATTGGACAATTTTTGTCAAATACAAACGAAAGTGCTACAGTATCCATTTTCCAAATGGGAAGGGATCTAAACAGGCCCATAGTAGTTTTGCATTTGCAGATGCAAGTCGAAGGCATCTCGCTGACCACTGCCAATTGTACAAAAGCACAGTGTACGAATGAACCGATGATTGACAAGTGAAAATAAGTTTGACTGATCGCCACAGCGAGGTGTTTCTTTTCTTGGGCATTCAGACTGGGTATTGAGAGGTTTATCTTTTTACATTTAGAAAGGGGCCGGTCCGGGAGAATAAAAAATGAATTGAATGAAGAGTGAAAAAATAGAAAAACAAATCTAAAGATATGATTTGGTGTGGCCACGACGCGGCCTCAGGGTGGCCACGTCGCCGGCTTTTCGCGGCCGTTCGATCGGCCGCGCGGACGGCCCAGATCGGGCGAGCCGCGGTCGTTTTACGAAAAACCCTTTAAGTTTTCGGAAATCAACCCGCGCTCCAGACGTCCTCTCGAAATTTTTACAAAAACGCCTCGTATTATTTCCAAATCAGCGCTCGATCCGGACCGGATGGGCACCGGTTTGTTTGCAAAAAGACCTCCACTTTATCGAAAATCATCTCGCGCTCCCGGACACTCTCACGCTTTTTGCGAAAACATCCTCGATTTTTTCTCAAATCAAAATACAAAGCCAACTTTGATTATATCTTTTTTCTCCAAAAATACGTGTGGCCCGATGGACCCACACGCATGCATGCCGCAAAACTAAACTATATATATATATATATATATATATATATATATATATATATATATAGCTAGCAATTCGATCAGGCACAGTACGTGTATTGTTCGAATTAGTGAGCAGCATTCTCTACTACTTGCATTTAGTTTACCGGTCAGTCTACATATGTATCAGTGTTGTAATCTATCTAAACTCCAAGAAATAATATGATATGCACGAATTGATGAATTTTGTGGATCTAGCAGTGTACTGTATCTGAATGATGTACATACATGCTTGCTGGATGCAGAAAGAAAAAAAACAAGCGAGAGGATGCATGGATAATCTGCATATATCGCCGCGGCACTAATAAAAATGCACGTACAGATGTATTGATTCTAGCTATTTTATGCACACACGTACTGGACGTGGATTAATCTTGGAATTAGTAACCAAAAAACACACGGCCGGGAAAGAGAAGGAATGATGGCAGAGGCACGTACGGAGGAATGAAGAACAAAGGCCGGCCATGGCACGACCTGCGTTTACGGGCGGCTCGGGCAGGCGGACCAAGGAAAGGAAAGGAAAATAGTACGTACTTGGCGGCGGAGGCGTAGAGGCGGCCGCGCGGGGAGAAGACGATGAGGGCGACCTCTGCGTCGCACAGCACCGACAGCTCGTACGCCTTCTTGAGGAGCCCGCTCCGGCGCTTGGAGAAGGTCACCTGGCGGCTCGTGGAGTCCTCGATCCGGCGCATCTCGCGGCGCCCGCGCCGCCCCTGCTTGGCCGCCTTGTTGGCGGCGTTGTTTCCGTTGGGCGCCGCCGGCGCATCCACGTCCATGGCGGCCGCCGCGGTGGCCATCACCATGAGGTGGTCGGGTGGTGGATGGATCTGCATGATGCCTTGCCGGCGGCGAATCGGAGCGGATGGGAGGGGATGGAGCTCAGGTGCCTGCCGGGCTTAATCTGGTAGCGTTGGGGGATTTGTAGGGATGCGATATTTGGAGGAAAAAAGGAGCAGTTTTTATTATATTACTTAGATAGGAAAGGGTCGAGGAACCACAAATGGCAACAGCTGGCTGGCTGGCCAGTGGCGACCCCCTGAGCCCCCTGCTGGGCCCTGGCCATCATTCACATGGCTTTCCTTCCTCTTACTCCAAAAAAAAATCTCCCAAGTGTTTCCACATTTGTTTCCTCCTCACCGGCTCTGAAAGTGACACTTGTCTGCCTTAACTTCATGTGGAGTTATTCTTTCAACTCAAATATACTCCAACAAGAGCATCCATATATACCACTTGTAAAGATCAAACGGTTGGTTGAAAACCATAGTTCTATAGGGTCACTTTGTTGCACTTCACCAAATAATCAATTATTTTTTGTCGGTCGCACATTGCAATTTATGGAGCCAGCTTATAAGTCATGATACAGTATTTTTTTTCTCAAAAAATTAGCCATACAAATCAGTACAAGCGGCTTTAGCTGCGTTTGAAAGTGGACAAAGATCTATTTTATTTTTATTTATATATCTATCTCTTCTCTTCTCTATCTCTACAACTAAAACATACAGATTATCAACATCTACCCCGCAGGACCAAAACACTCATGCAATCCATATCCGGCAGGCAAATAATTACCACATCTCATACGATCCATATCCGGTAGGCAAATAATCACCGCATGAAGACACTGGAAGGCAAGTAAATAAAATAGAATAAAACTCACAGAATCACCAGCAGACAAATAATCACTGCATGGCTACACTGGAAGGCAAGTAAATAAAATGGAATAAAACAGAAAGAGAATTATGGGAAGAGAAATGAATTTATTGGAATATCACCACGCAATGATCATGATCGTGATCCAAATCTCGTTCGTCGTCCTTCGTGTTGCGTGTTGACAACAAATACTTTTTTTTTCCAAAAATGAATTATTATCATGCCTTATGCGGGCGAGGATATTGTAAGTTCGAGTATACATGTTTTTGCAAGGCAGAGCATGGATAAATTTAATTCGATGTCTAGCAATAAATTTTCAGCCTTTGAGAGAACTGATGTTTATCGTAACTTTCAGACAACAAGCTCCAAGCCTAGCTTTTATTTCAGATTCATTACGATAATGAATGTGTTTCTAGATATTATCATGGTATAATACACGTGAAAAATTAAATTAATATATTCTTGATTTTAACTTAGCTAGTAAACATCTTATTCAATTTATGTTGCACCCGTTATAACACACGAACACTCATCTAGTAATATAAAAACAACCTGTACGTTGTGGCATGGGGCTGGGGTGACGGACGGCACTCCCCTTAGCCAATCGAGCTTACATTTTAACATGGCCTCCTCCATCTGCAAATAGAAAAAAGGTAAAGCAAGCAACGCAACCCTTTGCAACAACCAAAAGGTATAATAGAGGATAGTGCCCGTTGGTGGCAACCGGGAAATATAGGGATGTTTGAAACTATTTCACAAACTTTCACCTAGAGTAGTTTTACAAAAAAACTAGAATTTGTGCAGCATTTTTTTAGGTGCTCTCACAACTTTATCATTTTTTCTGAAACAGATTGTGTGGAGCTAAACCGTTTGACTAAAAAAATATGGAGCGAAGCTGAAAAACGTGGAGTGGAGCAGTCCCAAACACCCTATATATACACTCATTGTAGCTGGGAAAGCCTGCTGGGCCTGTTCGTTTGAACTTATCAGCCGGCTTATCAGCTAGAATTTACAGTATTTTTCTCTCACAATAAAACAGCTTCAGTCGACTTTAATACCAGCCGAACAAGCCCGAGTAGAAGCAGTAGATCCTCTCTCTCTAAAAAAGAATGCAACCTAAGTATAAATCAAATGAAATTAATTTTGACTAAAGTCTATTAACAAGTTATTACATAAAATAATACCATTAGTATTTAGAGCGAGAAATTTTAATGTTGTTTTCTACACATTAAATTTGGTTTAGATGAAATCTAGAATTATTTTGTTTTTTTCTTACTACCTGGAATTTATGACCAGTTACTATTATGGCTGACCACCACATTGGTCGGTCAGTCAGCCAAAAAAAAAAAGAACACCACATTGGTCATGCATGTAAAGCTGGCCTGGGATGTTGAGATTCGAGAAAAGCGACGCAGCAGACGGGTTGGGTCCAGCCAGTGCCAGTGTGCCACCACTCACAGCCCCAACGTGGCAGGAGGCTATGGCTTGCGTGGAGCCCACAGGCGTACGGTGCCAGGGTCGTCCGTACATACGAACTAGCCATAGCAAGACACGCGGACCGGCAGGACCACCGCACCAGCGAGCCGACACGACCCACGAGGATGAGCAGCCACGCCAATCGTTGCCAAAATTTTATTTATTTTAGCATCTGGACATCCTAGTCGTCGCAAAATTAGGTCCTGTTTAGTTTTAGGCACTATTTTTTAGTCCATGTCAAATATAGATAAATTACGAGACAAATCTATTAAACCTCTGTCTGTGCAATTTATTTTATAATTAATTTATATTTAGTTTTTCTAATTAACATTTGAATATCAGATGTGACAGGGACTGAACTTTAATCCTGGAACCGATATACAGCCTGTTCAGGAGGCCGTATCGTATCGTGCATTATTTACTGCTGACTGGTTTGATATAAGAGAAAAACATGATTCTCGATTAAAAATTTACGATCGTTTACGAGCAAACGAACATGCCAATATTCCACGAACCCACGTGATTTGGGCCTTTGGCAACGTGCCACAAGTGAAATGATGGTAAGGCTAGAGGAGGGTTTATAGATACTAGATAAGATGATATAGAATAGTATAGATGAAAAGGTATCATCAAAATTTTATACAGATTGAAATAAGTTTTGTATGGATAAAACATGTCTTCGTTATTTTGAACATATGACAGTCTTGTAAACCGGGACATAAAATTTCTACCGAAACCAACTGTGGGGATATGACCCTAGGTATCAATAAGATAAGACATAGGCCACACCATCAGAGGTGGCCCAGCCTACAAGATCAAGACGTGCACGGCACTAGTCGACGTATACCGTAAGATATTATATAGTACAAAATAGGATACATTCCTTGTAACCCTACTCCTCCAAAGTATATAAGGAGAGGCAGGGGTCCCTTTGTCGACATCTACATACATCTAATATACATTACAATACACCAAAAACACAGGACGTAGGCTATTACGTCGATCAGACGACCCGAACCTGTCTAAATCACTGTCTCTGCGTCTTGTGTTACCATTTAGTTTCTGATCACGCGCACTTCTACGATAAATCTACCATCGCGGGATACTTCTCGGTGGACTGCCGAGCATCTTTTATCGACAGTTGGCGCGCCAGATAGGGATGTGCGCTTGATCCCATGGCGAGCCAGATGGACCTTAAATCAACAACGCGTTCTCGTCATCAATCTCGTGAAGATCCTTTCGGTCCACGATGACGATTCATCGCTGGCCAACTCGGTGCCTTCAATCGTGGTCCGCGACACATGCTATCCTCTAGGTCCCAGGACTTGGTCGAGACTAGCACCAGAAAGCAGGTCAACGACATCATTGCCGGTGGCGTCAACGTGTACCATATCCGATTTAAGGGGGTGTTTTGTTGCCACTCCTAAATTTTAGTCGTTGTCCCATCGAATGTTTGACACGTGCATGGAGTATTAAATATAGACTAATTATGAAACTAATTGCATAGTTTGCGACTAATTTACAAGACGAATCTTTTAAGCCTAATTAGTCCATGATTTGACAATGTTTTGCTACAATAAATATGTGCTAATAACGGATTAATTAGGCTTAAAAATTCGTCTTGTGGAGTACCGACGGATTATGTAATTTATTTTTTTATTAGTATTCAAATATCCTATACAATATTCTTCCGACATACCTCCTAAATTTTAGTCACAGGATCCAAACACCACCTAAAGCCAAGAAGCAAAATCAAAGCACAAGTAGGTCTCCAGTCTGCAATGTCACCTCCGTCTTCGATATAGCACCACAGAGATTTCCAAATCGGGGTCTCTGCGTTCGAGGCACTGCTCCCTTACGAGCAAACAAGAAGCATGTGCAGGCCATGCAAGTTATTTAATAATCAACGCGTAACTTGCAAGTACGTGTGCACGTGTACACGACCATGCTATACGCCCAAATCTGGCCTAATGCACACACTAGGGCCACGTTTAGTTGGTCCCCAATTGTAGCTACAGTATCTTTTCGTTTTTATTTGATAATAATTGTCTAAACATTGACTAATTAGGCTCAAAACGTTCGTCTCGTAAAGTACAACCAAACTGTACAATTAGTTTTTGATTTCGTCAACATTTAGTACTCCATGCATGTACCGCAAATTTGATGTGACGGAAAATCTTTTTTTTACATAGTGTCAAAGTTTGGATTTTGAGTGAACTAAACAGGGCCTCGGATGACAAACATGCAACTACATGAAGGCCACCAATTAAACCGCCATGCAAGCTAGAGCCTTGTTTAGATTACCTCCAAAATCTAAGTTTTTTCACTCTCTCTTCATCACATTAATTTTTGGACGCATGCATAGCATTAAATGTAGGTAAAAAAAATAACTAATTATATAGTTTGGTTGTAAATCACGAGACAAATCTTTTGAGCCTAGTTAGTACATGATCGGACAAAATTTGTCAAATACAAACAAAACGTGCTATAGTGTCCAGATTGCAAAAATTTACAATCTAAACAAGGCCTAGCTTTCACGTACGCCAAATAAAGGAGATTTCGGACTGCATCTCGCCTCGGTGTTTCGGACCGGGGTCCTCAACCAACTAGTAAAAGTGAACTGCGTGCCCCTAATCCCGGACGATGATGCAAAGAGACACAAGGTTTATACTGGTTC